CTGGTATTCCATACAAGGCTTCTCTAGTACCAAGCCCTTTGCGAAAACCAAACAGAGTATAGATAATGCTTGCCGAGAGATAGAGATCGTACCACTGTTGCGCACGCCTTAAGTGCAATTTTCAAAAGAGATCTTCAAGCTAAAATTGCGTTTGTAGTTGAAAGATTCGTGCGCCACATCACTCACTCTCCAGTGACTGAGCGAAGCAATGTCACGATATAATTAGTGATCCTATGCCACTGATTAAACATTCTCTGCAAATCGAACTGGCAACCGAATTCGCCTGCCGCTAGACGATGTTTGAGTTCTTTTTGTATGTTGCTTCTGGTTATTTTCTGCTTTTCGATGAGTACAAGAATGTCGTGCTATCTGATGTTGATTTGTTTCTTGCTCGTCATCACAGATATAGGCAGCTTTGACCCGATCTATACTTACACGTACTGGTTTATCTTTCCATAGAATGGTCATCAGCTTATTGTCGCGATCGGTTACCTTAAATGGTCCATCGTAAGGTGCTTTGAGAGATGGTCGAACAGTGTCATCGCGTAGATAAACATGAGTACATTTTTTAAGATCTGGTTGTATAAATGTTTTTGATATGGAGTGGTTTGCCGTAGGTACTAGTCTTAGTTGCTCCATTACGTCTCGTAGTGATTGTACGAATTCCGAATTGGACATGTCTTTACTGGAACTTTCGAAAAACTCACATGGTAATCTAAGTGTCGTGCCATAAACCATTTCTGCAGGAGTCGCCTTGATGTCGTTTTTGTATACGTTTCTCAGTGCGAGTAGCACTACTAACAGTTCATCTGTCCACTTTTGTTTGGATCTGCACTTTAAAGCTGTTTTAAATGTGCGGTTCGATAATTCCGTTTGCTTGTGGATGATATGGACTTGTTCTAAGGTGTTTTGTGCCAATTAATCTCGTGAGTTCATTGAATAATTTTGACTCGAATTGTCGACCTTGGTCGGTTATTATTTCAGATGGCACGCCGTAATGTGCGATCCAACCCTCCAGTAATGTTCCCGCCACTGTGCTTGCATCATTATCGGCCATAGGGATAGCAACTGGCCATCTGGTAAAACGATCAATGCCCGTTAAACAGTAGCTAAATCCATTTGACATTGGTAATGGCCCTATGATATCGATATGTAGTGAAGAAAATCGTTACTCTGGTAGCTTGAAACAACCAAGTTGTAACGACCAGTCGTTATGTTTTGCTGAGGTATGCAAAGCGGCTGTCCAGGTTCGTTGCAATAAAATTTATGTTCGCTGAGACTAAACAAGAAAAAGGCGTAGATTTTATATATTTTATTAATACATTATTTAATTATTCAAAAACAAAACAATTATAATAGTAATAATTTAGATAAACAAAATATTATTTTTTTTGAATTATATATATATTATAAGAATTATATTATATGGATTATATATAAGATCCGTTGCTGTCAAAGATGACGATGTTTCGGCGACTGGCTCTGGCTTATCTGTTACGAAGACTCCTGTCTTTGTGCTAAGGGATGTAATAGTTTGGCTGAATGAGCCAGGTTAGAAAGTAAAAAAAAAGAAATTCAATAAGCCTGTAAACTAATATTGATCGAATTGACCAGTTGATTATCCTGATTTGATCAAATTGACCAATTTAGGCTGATTAAACCTGTGAGCTAAGGTTGATCGAATTTGACCAGTTGAACTTGTTTATCGTTTGATATCCAAGACACAAGTTGCCGTGCTTGTACAATGCGCGTTTATTTATACTCAAACGACCGAAGCTTTTCTTGTAGTGCATCGGTACATTTGCCGTTGGTATTTTTGATACTTGTTGTCTTTCGTTGCTATTGTTCGCTCGGGTGTAATTTCTGTGCTTTGTGTTTTCGTGCGTTCTTGAATTCGTCGTGCTTTGTATTTAGTTCAACCAAAGCTTTCAAGCTTGTCTTGTTTACAAACGTGTTTTGTTTATACAGTGCTGGTGTTTGTGCTTTTAATATTTATATTTATTTATTAATAAATAAATAAAAAAAAGATAAAACAAAAATTAATAAAACAAACATAAATAAAATATATATATAAATAGTGAATAAATAAGGTGCGTATATTCTTCACTTATTTAATTACATTTCTTTATATTCCAAGTTGTGTTTTTAGTTTTGTTGTTTTATTATTTTTTTATTTTCTTCAGGTCAAGTCATGCCCGCGACTCATTGACGCATGGACTGCAGGTAATGTCGTTGCATTCTTGATCTTGATAATATTTGAATAACTCTTATTCTTTCTAGGTTGGGCACAGAATTTTGTTGAGGGTGAGTTTACTTCTGGTGTTGTCCGAAATGGTGTTGGTGTTATGTTTTCTATTGACGGATTGACGTCAGATTTGTATACAAGCATATGTATGGTTGAAATTACTTTGTAGCAATTTCAACCTTTACAAAGTATTGTTTGATTATATCTGCATACCTTGGTGCGTTGGCATGGATGACAAGATTTTACCATCTTCGTTATGTCTTTCTTCATGCCTGGCCAAACGAAACGCTCACATATTTGTTTGATTGATGATTTATTTCCTGGATGCCCCAGATTGTGAACCGCCCGGAAAACTTGCTGTCGATGTCCTTGAGAAACCCAGGGACGCGCTCGTTTAGTTGACACATCGCATGCAATTGGATTCATAGAGTTTGGCATGCTGATCCACTTGAGTTCCAACGATGTCTGATTTTTGGTTAACAGGTTTTTTAATTCAGCGTCGTCTTTCTGGCTCTCAGCTAACTTGTTGAAATCGATCTGTTGGCAGCCATTTATTTCTTCAATACGTGAAAGTAAATCTGCTACGTTTTTTTTTTTCCAGCGATGTGTTGTATGTCTGTCGTGAACTGTCCTATGAAATCCAGATGCCTTGGAGATGCCTTTTCAGGTTTCTGTTGAAACGCAAATATGATAGGCTTGTGATCCGTCAAAACTGTGCATTTTCTACCTTCGATCATGTGCACAAAGTGTTTAATAGCTTGGTAGATGGCAAGCAATTCTTTTTCGTATGTGCTGTATCGTTTTTGAGTCTCGGTTAGACGCTTTGAATAAAAACCGAGAGGTTCGATCTGTCCATTTCGTATGTGGTGTAGTGCTGCACCTACTGCTGAGTTGCTTGCATCGACGTGGAGCACCAGTTTACCGTCTGTGGTTGGATGTGCTAATGTACTTGCATCTGCGAGTGCTTTTTTGTATGTGACAAAACCTTTGCATCTTCTGTCCATTCCAATTGAGTTTCGTCATTCTTTTTATTTGTTTTTATAAGTATTTGCAATGTGTTTTGAGTTGCGGCCGCACCAGGTATGAAACGTCGATAGAAATTAACCGTAGCTAGAAATCGTCTTAATTCCTGAACCGTGTTTGGTTTTGGTGATGGCTGTTTTTTTCCTATCCTCGGGGGCAATCGGTATATTATAATATGCCCTTTCTAAGTCCAGTGTTGTAAATATACACTTATCGCTTAATGTCTGCGTGAAATCTTGCTGATGGCGTGTTGGATACCGATCGGGTATTGTCTGCGCATTAAGACGTCGATAGTCACCGCAAGGTCGCCAAGTTTTATTCTTTTTTTCAACCATGTTTAATGGGCTGGCCCACTCACTCTGCGATGGTACGCATATGCCCTATTCAAGCATATATTTAAATTCGCGTTTTGCTGTTTGAAGCTTCTTCGGATTAAGTCGTCTTGGACGTGAATAAACCGGCTGACCTGTTGTCGGCAGGATTTGTGCTGTTCAGACGCCTCGTCAACCGCCGGTGACGAAGCGATTTTTAGTTTCCCGTTTTTGTGAAATTACAAGGTGGTGCGCACTTCCGTGCGTTTGAGCCGAATTTGTGATGATAAAAACAGGTTGGATACCTCGAAACTCGGTTTGCAGATCTGGATGGGGCTCGCCTGTCACGCCTAGGTGTAGCTGCCCTTGATCGTGGCCGGCGATGAATTTCATCCGATTCCATTGCATCTATTCTGTTGTTCAACTTTTCGACTGTTGCAATCAATGAATTGAGATCGAATGGGGTGCTGCACGTTGAATTGTTTACTTGCACTGCCGAAACTGAATGATAGTTGCCCATCTCGATTATCAAATCCGCCTGCTGTGCACACTTGTCTAGATCGACATCTGCAGTCGAGACTACAGCCCGAACAGCTTCAGGTAGTCGATCGAGTCATAGTTGTTTGATAGCACCATCCTTCATTTCACCGCTTGCCAAATTGCGCATTGTTCTGAGTAGCTGAGAAGGTTTTAAGTCGCCTAACTGGCATTCTTGCACCAAACGTCGCAGCTTCCGGTTTTCTGAATCGGCATAATCCTGGATCAGACGTTTTTTTATCGCTTCATATTTTCCAATCAGTGGAGGTTTCTGACAATATCTGCTATGTTTTTTAACGTAGTGCTGTCAAGGCTGCAAACCACATGATCGTATTTTGTTTGATCCGTTGTTATATAGGCGTTTCTGAACTGCGATTCCATTTGTATGAAATACAAATCTGGGTCATGCCTGATGAATGGCAGTGTTTTAACACCCAATCGGCAGATATCGCGTGAAGGTTGCTCGGGCATCGCTATCAATGTTTGATCGCATTCTGCCTCGTGTGTAGCTCCCTCAGTATTCAGCATTGTGATTGACGTAATAACAACAAGTGTAGTTGTGAAAACAACTTTTATTTAAATTATCTCTTTTTTAAATTACCTCTTTTTAATTTTAGTTCTTAAAAGAACTTTGTGTCGTGGGTCACCAATATAGATAATGCTTGCCGAGAGATAGAGAGCGTACCACTGTTGCGCACGCCTTAAGTGCAATTTTCAAAAGAGATCTTCAAGCTAAAATTGCGTTTTTAGTTGAAAGACTCGTGCGCCACAAGAGTATCACTCATTTGTTCCTCGAGTTTTGGATAAATTCTATTATGTATAATTCGGAGGAATATCTTTAACATATGACTCATCAAGCTGACTGTTCTAAAATCTGCACATGTTTATGGTATAGTTTTCTTTGGAATCATAATAAACGTAGATTGAAGCCAATGGTTTGGTATCTGGCCTGTATTATAAATATTATTAAAAAATCTTGTTAAATTACGTATGCCATTATCTATGAATAGCTTCACCAATTCTGTTGGTATTTGGTCAGAACCCACCGTTTTTCCTATTTTTGCATCATCAATTGGTTTTTGAACTTCATCTAAGGTTATATGTGGACCTAATTCATCTCTTTGATCGGGTGTCACAGATGATCGGTTGCTCGCAAATATAGTTTGGATATAATTTTTCCACATACGAAGTGTTTCGTCTTTTTCTGTTACGTATTTACCTTCGGTATCATAAGTGTGCTTCTCTTTCTTCTATTAGATGTCGTCATGTTTCTAATTTTCTTGTGTAAGTTAAATAAATCGTATCTTCTTTGATAACCCTCTATCTCCTCACATTCTTTTTTGTGAAACTCTTCTTTTGCTTTTCTAATAAGAACACGTATAGATCTGTGTATATCCTTATATTTGCGATTACCTTTATTTTTATATCGACTTCTTTCGTACATTAATTCCAGGATTTCATCTGTCATCCAAACTTCTTTCTTTCTAGATCCGACTACGCCCACTTCATTATTTGCTACTTCCATTATTGTGTTTTTAATTGTCATAGCTATTTCTTCAATGAACATGTCGTCGGGTTGTAAACTTAATAACTTCGTTTCAATTTCATTCTCAACTCGCATCCTCAAATCTGGGCTTTTTAATTTCTGTACATTGAGTTTACTCCTCGGTTGAGCTGAGCTTGTCGTTTTGAATTTAATGTTGATTTTAACAGCTAGCAAGTTGTGATCAGATGGAACATCCGCACCGGGGAAAGTTTTAGTGAATTTTATTGAGTTCTTATATCTTTCACTTATTTTTATAAAGTCGATTTGGTTACGAATGACCCTGTTTACTGTATCAGCTGGTGACTTCCAGATATAAAGTCTTCGTTTTGGCAGTTTAAAGAATGTATTGGAAATAATCAACTTATTACTTCTGCAGAATTCAGCCAAACGATTACCTCTATCGTTTCTTTCACCTAGGCCAAATTTGCCAACAATAGCATCGTCCTTGGCCTATCTTCGCATTAAAGACACCCATAACTATCAGAACATCTCTTAACTTTGTACTTCTTATCAATGATTGAATTCCTTCGTAAAATATTTCAATTTCATCATCAGGAGTAGCACATATGGGTGCGTAAACTTGAATTATATTTAAATTTATCGGCCACCCCTTCATTTGCACCACTATTATACGAGCGGAATAATGCACGACATTTGTTACCATATTTTTGAGTTCTTTTGCTATAATTACTACAACACCAGGTTTGTTTCTTCTTCCATCGTCGCCACTGTAGTACACATCATAATTGTCTATAGTACAGCTTCCGTGGTATGGCCATCGCATTTCACTTACTTCCAAAATACCAATTTCATGTTTCTGCATTTCCCGAATTGTATTATTAATTTTGCCTCTTTCGAACATACTCCTGACATTCCAAATGCCAATTTTATAGGATTTATTATTTTATAGGATTTTATTACTGAATCGCATCTTAGCTGAACGGGAGATTCTTAGCACCCCTGTCCCATTCAAGGGGCGCCCGTACTCGGGGCCGTTGTTTTGATTTTCAGCCATGTTAGATAAATTGATTCATGTTTGTTCATGTTACATTTGGAAAAATAATAGTGGTGGTTTTCCATTGCCTTCCACCGCTGTGCACATACCGTTTATATGGATACCACTGCGCTATCTGCTAATTCATGTATAACGGTACCAGTTGTCTCAACCTCTGCCTATACATAATACTGAGAAACCAGCTGCCATTCCCCAGCACTATTTGTAGCCTTTTATCGCTACTAACTTCGGAAAGCTTACAGTGGGGGTTTATTACGAAGTTTACCATCTCCTGGCTGTTTGGTCCGCGGGAGGTATTTTATTTTCCTCCTACCAGCCATTTCTGGGAGGAATTCGCTATCCGCCACCTGCGAGGCGCCCTGCAGGGATTACAGCATCCCCCGAGGGTAATCTTGGAAAGTGAAAAAGAAGGAATTTTATATTTCCTAGTGAAAAAAATGATCGTCTTTTCAGGGTTAATATCAAGGTCGAATTCCCTACACTATTCAGTTATAGTGACGAGCGTGGAATTAATGATGTTAGATAAATGTTGGGGAAATTTACTCGATGAAGCGATAGCAGTGTAATCAGCATAAGCTATTATGCTACACCGGATCGTTCTAATGGTTTCAGCAAGGTATTAACCGCTATGTTCTACAAGAGTAGAAAGAGCACACCACCCTGTGGTGTTTCCCCGACAGACTGTTCTACACGACTTAACACTTCCGATGTCGGAGGTGATAATTTTAGTTTTGAGAAGAATCTCTACAAATTTCACCAAACTGTCGTCAAGGTTCAGATTTGAAATGGTTTTTACGATACCATTACGGCACAAATGTATATTCCCTAAGACAGATGGAATGGTCAACTTGCGAAATGAGTGCATGGAGCGCTGTACTCGAATCGACAGAATTTCCTTTAGTGTATGCATGCTGTGATGAAGAGAAAAGTTCGGAGTTTATAGTGTTCCTGATATAAAGATCAAGAATTCTCTCTAGAACCTTTAGAAGAAAGGAAGATAGACTAATTGGCCTATAATCTTTAGCACTGGAGTGTGTCATACTCCCTGCTTTGGGAGTGAATACTACTCGAGCCATTTTCCAACAACTGGGGATATACATAAGTTGAGACAACTATTATATATGCTAAGAAGCCAGAAAAGGATAACAAATTCGCTCTGGTGAATATCAGCGGGAATAATGCCGTTAAGACCTGGAGAATTATATAGTTGGAAGATTTTAATAGCCCACTTGATTTGAGTGTTGGTCACTTGAAAAGCATTAGGGTTGATCAGCAGAGTTGACTTGCGTTGATGCATTAGCATAAGAAGCCATGCTTACTGAGAAGAGAGTGTGTAGAAGAATATAAAGTTTCCTTGCTAGAGTTGGTCCATTGACGCCCGAATACAATCTAGAGACTTGTGGGTGGAGTTGAGAATATTGAGCAATCGACAATTTCCAAACTGCTCTTTTCGCCCACCGAATGGCATATTTCAATTCCTTTAGTTTCTCTTTGTTATCTCAGTTACCTGTTACTTTGGCTCCATTAAAAAGTCTTCTGCAAAATTTGCGGAGATCTGCAATGGTTAGATTCCACCATAGAGATTTAGCTTTGCCCCAAAATTCTGAGAATTTGCATTTGTGGCGCCTCTAAGTGCTGAGGTGAGGAGGTCGACTGGCCGATCAATATCGGAGTAGTTAAGAATAGTGGGGGTCCAGCTGTAAACGAGACTCGAGGATCGATCGGAAAATGTACAATTCAGTAAGTTTTCTGTTGACTGGCTTTGGTGATATTTTTAATTCAAAGTTCACCGACAGGTCTAGGACAAAAGTTATGTATCTGCGGTCCAAAAAGAAGCAGTCCTGTGATACAGACTAGTTATTTAGAAAGTTTGAGGTGCGTTCGCTAATGAGAGTTATGTCGAATACTTCCTTTCTAGTAGAAATCATGAAGGTCGGTTCATTGCCTTTATCAGCGATCATAAAGTTACCTGCAAGAATGAAATCAAAAAGATCCTCACTTCGCTCGTTGAGTTCGCTCATCAGCTTCAATAATGACCTGAATCCTTTTTTGCTTGCTTCTGATATCAGAAGCTTTAGGGAGTTCTGTGGTGGCATGTAAGCTGAGACTATCCAAAGAGCCTTGGCGTCGTGTTCGATGACCATGGCTATGTTGTCGTTATCACTAAATATAGGGTGTAAAAAGGCAATGGTGTTATTTTTTTACTAAAATAAAAAATCAGGGTTTACCTTGACCTTCTACGAATACAATACATTATCCGATTGCATACAACCGCAAATTCGATTCTTTACAATTCGAGGTTTTTAGATTAGCAGGATGTCCTCACCTTTTTCATCCCGGCGGAGGGTGTGGGCTGCTGAGGCAGTTTTAGAGTGTTGGAGGTTAATTTGCACAACCTTCAACAAAACAAAATATTTTTGATCACGTTCCTTTTAAGCTGATCCTCGTCCGACATCGGTAAAGTTCGCGGGATGTATAGTGCACCTGTAAAAAAATTCGCTGACCAATTCGGATGACGCGAAAGCACTGCCTCCACTCTCGGAGGAAAGGATGCTGATTTTATCACTAACTCCGTCTTCGGAAATGTTAGTATCAGGTGCCGCAGCTCTGTCGTCAGAGGCCAGTTCTGAAAGGACAATCCCAGAGGGTTGTTGTCGCGCGACATGGTGGTCGCTTTTGTTAATTCTGAGGGTGATCAATCCGAAGTCATAGTTGATCACCCCATTACGAGCTTGAAGGGGGACAAGAGATTGTTTGTTAAGAACGACGTGGGCTTCTATGAAGTCGGCCCTGGGGTCACTGACCATCGCGATCTTCCAGTCGTGGGTTGGAAGGCCGGTGTTGCTCGGCTTGAGAAGTGAAAGTATTTCCTCAGGTGAAGAAAGTTTCTATATGAAGTTTCTTCATATAGACCCATATCCGTGCTACGCAATTTGTCGAAGGTTTTTGAAAAAGCAATTAAATAGGTGACTATCAAATTTTGTGGAAAAACAAAACCTAATTTGATATCATCAATTTGGCTTTAGAACCAGCCACTTAACAATTGAACAAGTCCATTGAATTAGTAGTATAATAGAAAAGTGTTTGAAAAAGAAGGAAGTGTGTTCGGCAGTGATTCATGATATCTCACAGGCATTTGACAAGTTATGGCATCAAGGTCTTATGAGCAAATTACGAATGCAATTGCCAGAACAATATTGCGAATTTATAGAATCTTATATAACAAATAGATATTTTCGAGTCAAACAAGAAAACTGCTACTCAAACCTAAAAGAAATTAAAGCAAGTGTTCTGTAGGGAAGTGTTCTTGGTCCCAAAACTTTTCTTTTGTTTATTAATGATATCCCAATAACAGAAAATTGTAAAATTGTGACGTTTGCTGATGATGCAGCTCTACTTTCAATTGGTTCTAATGAAATGGAATCAATTAAAACTCTCCAGCTAGCCTTTAATAATGTTCATCAGTGGTTGAAACAATGGCGATTTAAGTTTAACAATACAAAATCGGTTCATGTTGACTCTACGAATAAAAGGGTCTCCCACTACAAATTAAATATAAATGGACTGGAAATACCTTATGCGAATACAACGAAATGCTTAGGCTTGACTTTAGACTCTAAACTACGTTGGAAAGAGCATGTGAAAATGTGACAAAGAAAAAACCAGAACTTGAGCTAAAGTATGAGCAGATAAAATGGAGACGTGTTTTTCCATTCTGTAGACTTCTAACAGTTTCACTTTTATCAAATTTTATTCACTGAATATTTGGCAGCGAGTTTTTAAAAAAAACATAGGAAATTTTGTGTAAAATAAATATAAACTTGTATTATTACTTTTTATAGGTTTTTAAAAATGAAAAAAGGAAAAAGCAAGCAAAAGAAGCAAAAATTTGTACTCAAATATCAATATAGAATGTTTTAACGATAGTAAAGTTTTGAAACTTATGTTATTAGATTTATAAAAAAATTATAATAATATAAAATAAAAAAGTTTAATATAATAATTGTTATAAAATTGCATTATAATTAGTAAAACGTTGCCATTTTGTTTACTTCTTTAT